GGATATTCTGATGTTTTTTCAGATTTGTTTTCAGATCGTCATGTGGTCAATAATTAACAATGAGAGATGCTAAATGTTGGCAAACAATTTGTGTACAAGTTACAGGCTCATCATCAACTTCATTGAAAAACAAAATATCAGTATTTAATTTATCATTAAGCATTAATTTTCCTTTATTTGACCTCCCTGCTATATAGCCTAAAAGACTATAAACACATTACCAAACAATTTAAAAAACAGTTGTTGACAAACTATTGTAGCAACAACATTCCTACTACTTTATGTACGAGTTTGTTCTCTTACAGGACTGATTAGCCTCCATTCCTTGCAAATATTTCACTTACGCCTAATCTAAAATTTCCCATGTTTCTTACTGACTTCACCTCTGGTCATGGGGCCTATATAAAACTCTCAGATTTTAGTATGCAATGGTACAACTAGCTTGTACAAGAAGTGGCCAGCAGGGGCAACAGCACTAACTACTTCTCCACCTAGTGAGTTAGTTGTCCCTAACTGCTCATGTACCAGCACACTTCATTTTATCAGCAAGTGCCCTTTATGCTGTCTTTAAAAGAAGCTATTAGTTACTTTCCATCTGGGCTGGGTTATCATTGGATGTCTTCAGATTTAACTGCATGTTAAAATGAGAACTCTCTTCACTGAACACATGGCTCATACACTAATTCAGACCATGGTAGAAGTTAAACAAAAATGATGTTCATTGAATCTATCTGGGCTCATTTAAATGGAACTATTAATGGTAATTAATATTTAATTAAAAAACAAAAATTCCAAGACAAATGCTCAACAGGGCATAAACCATGACTAGCCCACGCAAACTGGGATGATGTTCACTGTACATTTAAGTATTATCCTTATTTAACAGATGAAGAAAGAGATTCATAGAGACAGAAGCTGAATTTACTGGACAGAGAATTTATTGTAAAGCCAATTCAGTTTAAGCTTCAGGCCCTACACTTAAACATGCCCCTTCCAAGTCCTATACCTAATTTTGTAGTCACAATACTGTATTCTTTTTCCATAAAGAGGGCTCCTCACAACCTGGAACTGCCCCTGGGTAGAGAAGTTTTATAATTAACACAAATTCACATAGCCCATGATACTTACAAAGTGAGTTAGGTCTGGTGTTAATTTGATTTGGAGAATATAAACTCACACCAGAAAATGGAAAAGCAATTTCTTTTTTCCCTAGCAGAATGCTAACTAGTATCACTATCCTGGAGGCCTTCCCTGCTATATTCCAATCTACATATCACTAACACCACTAACAGTCATAAAATACCACTTTCATTTTATTACTTCAAAATTTGAATGACTCCTCAATAACTAACATCATATTTCAGCTTCTCAGTCTGGCTTTCAACCTCCTCATCAAGCAGACACATACACACGTTTGTAAATATTTAAACACAATCTTATCACCAACTACTTATGTAATGTTTATTTTTTTCTTTTTCTCCATTTGAATTTTCCTTTATCCTTCTGATTTGCCAAACCCTCAGCAAAAACTATCCTATGTTTTACTACTGTTCACAATATCTATTTTTTGTTGTTGTTCTTTTACGATATGCTTTATTATTATTATTATTATTATTATTATTATTATTAATTTCAGGTGCACAAAGCAACATAATAGTTAGACATTTACACCCCTCACAAAGTAATAACCCACCCCCCAAGCTACTACCCCTCTGACATCTTACATAACTGTTACAATACCATTGACTATCTTCCTTAGGCTATACTCCACATCCCATGACTATACATATTTTCTAATATTTGACATACCTATTTTTTAAATCACATATTTTGGCTCCTCATCTTAAACATTTTCAAACTTAAAGACAAGGCATATGTTTCCCCCCCACCACCAATAAACTCTAAATCTCTTAGAAAGAAACTAAATTTCTGTTACTTTTTATACCCATCTGGCACAGTGATTGGTACATAGCACTCAACTATTTTGTACAGGCAATATCTAGGTCTACATTTATAAATGCAAACCTCCCCTTCACCTAAATTTAAACAGGATTTTATCTGAGTCTTTCTTATGACACTGGTTGCATTCTTCAATCCGAGTTCTAAAAATAAACTTCCCCTAATTAAACACACACACACACACACACACACACACACACACACACCTCTTCCTATACTGCATGTATAGTGCTGTATTTATAGACCTATAGTCAATCTCATTCTGAAGAGTGTATTGTGGCCCAAAGACTGGTCACATCTGTATATTCTCCTTCCTCTCCTCTCTTCCTCACCTTCCTGTGTGAGGTGGCTTTGAATTAGGTGAAATAAGTCATTGGTCAATAAACAAGGAAAATACAATCTTCTCCAAATTAAAAAAAAAAAATCAGTGCTTATACCTGTCCTCTTTCAAATTTACACCTCAATCTGACTAGGAACATACAGGGTCTCAGTAGTGCCTTATAAAAAGTACAAACCAAAAATTAAGAGTTCTAGGTCAATAATTCCCCAGACAAGTAAAACAAAAAAATTGTTTTACTTGATAAGACTGACAAATGATTGACATTTTAATTTTGTCAAGAAAGGACTTAAGAAGGAAGGGACAGTTTAAAATTAAAAAAAAGGAAGCATTTTAGAAAAAAAGAAAGAACAGAACTTTAAATCGGAAAAACCTGACATTATCACTGATTACCAAGTTTCAGGGGCAGTAGATTGTAAACAGGTATAATAGATATGCAAATTCATTTCAGCTTAAACCAAATCTCTTTACCCTAAATAAAACTTTGTTTGAAATGAAATGTTATATCTTGCAAAGATGTCCATAAACCATAACATTAAAGCCAAACCAAGTAATTTAAACAGTAAAATAAGGAAAGTTTACTGCTTCCCTAGCCACCAGCCCTTTTCCCTCACACAAAAAAATACATTTTAATGTATGACTGGTAGAGCCCCTAAAATGAAGAACAGGAAAAAGTCAAGTGCCAAGTTCATTTTATGCCAAAAAAAGTTGTAAACACTTTGCAATTGTAAAGAACTTCCTATCAAATGATTCTGTAATTAAACTTAATATATATCAGGTTTCCATAATATACAAGAATACAGTTTCAATTTCGTGTATTGGTCAGGTTGCCATGACCAAAATATAAACTTGCCATAGCCTGCTTCAGTCATTCCCTTAACAAAAACGGATAAAGCCCTTTATTAAGTGTTTTCCTGTCCTAATGCAGACCCACCTACTGTTTACCAAATAATCTTTTCAAGTGTAAAATGATCCGAGTAAAATAATAAACTAATCTTGCCTACTCTTGTCTACTGTGATAGTAGAAACTGGAGATACTAATTTTTTCATTACCAGTCTGGGGTTTGACCCGAAGGAGCCCTGGTCCCACCTAGAATTTATTTAAAATTGCACATTTTATCTTAAAATTTCACAAGAGTTTTGCATTTTACTCTGTAATGTATACGTTTGTTTAAATTTAAAAAAAAATTTTTTTTTCCTCTGATCCCTGAGTAAAACTTATGCTCCAGGGAGATGTGTCATGTTTCTTCTGTGGTTTCTTAAGCATCCTGGTTCCTAATCCCTCCAGGTGCAGCACTACCTCATTTTGAGAAACACAATCCTGGACCACACACTTCCTGCAGTATACTGTTTTTGCATCCCCCCAATAGCAACTAAAATCTTACTTCCTGAAGAGCCAAAAGTTTGACATATATGACAGAATAATAGCACATTTGAATAGTGCTTATGCATTTGCAAAGTGATTTCATATGTCAATATTCATTTTAAAGAATGTCAAATTCAAAAACATCAAATTATCATATATCAATGAAACCCTGTGAAGTCTGTGAATTTTCACTTTTCTCCAAGGTGGAAAGCATGACGCTAGAACACAAACCAAGAATAATTCAGATAAATTTCTAAAATACAACGCTACCATATTCTTCAACAGACTAAATGCTCCTACTAAAATTATTGTACATAGTTACAATACTTGGTGGACACAAAAGCTGTCTTTTCCTCTTATAGAATTCCTTAGAATGTAAATGTTATATTCTAACCTTATCACCACTGTTTTGGTTCTACTTGTGACCTCCCCCCCCCAAAAAAAAGTATTTAATTGCTCAGTGTTTCAATAAAAACAATTCTTTTCATCAAGGAATTTGATCAAATGAAATTACAGATCCACAAGATTCCCAGTCTAGTGGATTTTAAAGGTTCAACAGCAAAGAATAGGTAATATAACACTGAAATGTCGGCCTATCACGCATTATGGCATTAATCCTAAATACAAAATAAATTGTAAATTCTATTGCAAGTTGTTAAAGTAAAAACTATCCCATCTCCTTTTAAACTAAATTGGATTTATGGTTGGTACTGCCCCCACCAATGAATTTAAGAGCAGCAAGGGATGGCCTCTTCCACAATACTTCACGAATTCATGCAAGAACTATACATGTTTGACCCAGAAGAAACATCTCGAGTTAGGAGCAGGAACAGGAAGGAAGACTAAGATGGTTCAGGTGCTCAGAGGCCTCGTTAGAGGAGGACGTGGGCGGCGGGGAGGGCCGGCGAGAACCTCGCCCACAGCAGCCCCCCCCCACCCCCGCCTGAGGCCTGTGGGAGGACGATGGGGAAAAGCTGCGTTGCTTTTTGGTTTATGAAGAGAAGCACGGTGCAAGGGTTTCCAGGGTTGAATAATGTTTACAAGACCCTCTCCTAGTAAGTTCTCTCCAGCTAAGGCTGTGTCCTCCCCGCAAGGCCTAAGGTAAGAGGCGCCATTATGGGAATGAATGTCCAGAGACTCGAGGGCTAGCTACAGTCTCAAACTCCAACAGCAAACTCACCGGGACCCCCCGACCCAATTCATCTTTCCAAAACTTCTGAGCCAGGGGTGACTGAAGTCCTGATGGCCAGAGCGCGGATGTCTTAGTTCTGTGCTTAGCCGCAGGTTCTTAAGCCTCACCCAGCCCCTTCCAGGCTTCTGGGCCCATAGATCAGCTACCCGACAACCCCTGCAGCGGGGGTAGTATACTCCTGAGCTCCCGACAGTCCCTGCGACCAGGGTAGTCTCCTCCCCGGCCTCCCGACAGTCCCTGCGGCCGGGGTAGTCTCCTCCCCGGGCTCCCGATAGCCTCTGCGGTTTCTGCAGAGACCCTGTCCTGATGGAGATGCTACGGGAATGCAGTAAGTCCGCCTAAAGGAGAAGGAACACAACAGATTTAACCTCTCACACAAGGCAAGCCTAAGTAAATGAAATGTCAGACTGTGGCCATGGGGGTGGTGTTTCAAACAACCCCAACATAATTTTTTATTTAGTTCTTCATTGGGCTCAGCCTTCTTTTTCAGTTCAAAGACCACACTTGGAGAAGAAAAAGAAGGCAAAGAGAAACATAGATCTCTAATCCAAATGATGATGTTTCCATTCCCACTTATCATTCCTACCCCAATCCTTTAAATATCTTTCACGTGCAGTTTTAATCAGTAAATAGTTTGTTTATTTAAAACATTGCACTGTAGTAATTTACTATTCTGTACATTTTGTGAGTTTCTGAGAGAGCTTAAACAAAATTTGATTTAGCTGAGAAGACCCAAAGACTTTAAACTCTTTACTGGAAAAAAAAAATCTACAAACAAAAATTGGATTTTATTGTTTATTTCTGTGTTATGTTTGTATAGCCTTACAAAATATTTATCTTACAAATGCTTTTGTAATATTTTCGTTAGAAGCCAGAAATCTCTTGCCCCAAAGAAATATGCAACGTACCTTTTTTTCCTACCTGTCATGATTGTTTTCTAGATTTAAATTTGGGGTATATCTCATAATTTCAAATGTAATACATTTTAAGCCATTGGGAAATAATATCTAAAATAGGATTATGTCCCAGGGTAAACATCTTGTTTAACGATAGTTTTTATTTTTATAACAAAAAGTTACTGAAGTACAACTATCATTGGTTTGAATCAGACCTGGTAAATACAGCATTTCAGAATAAATGTTAGCCTCAGGTATGGAGTAGCTGGTTGTTTTTCAGTAACTAACCATACAGTTGTGGCAGAAGCAATGGCCCAGCATATTATTAGCCTTTCCTACTTTCAACATTTTAAAACAGATGCATACTGACTAATTAACTAGAAGGGGAAAATCATTTGCTAAAGGATTGACTAGATTTTTGGTTTTGGTTTTGTTTTGCTATATTGTATGTGAAGGGACATAAAGGAGAAATTGCCCGATTTGTTGAAAAGAGTCAAGAACTGGAAGCTGGATAGAATCATTTCTCTCTAAATAGAGTCACAGCTTACCTTCCAGTCACAGAGAGGCAGTGGAAGTGGTGAATGAGGCTAAGAAAAAATTAATCTATGAAACGCATCTTCAGACAAAATATTTACTGGTTTTTTTCCTTCGCAGAAAATATGTTTTCTTATGAACTATTGGATTGTCAGAAAAGTCATGACGTGTGTTTGTGACAGATGGCACTAGTTCATTTTTGGAAGTACTAGAGTCATTCACATCTATGTTATTGCTATGTCATTTGACAGCTGACAGTTCTAGCTTCATTGTAAAAAAAATTGAGCGATTTGATTGA